CTGGAAAATCCTGTAGGTTTCTTTTGTAGTTCTTTCTGTTTTTCGCCTGTCTGCCACCTGTAGTAATTACCCATCCCCGGTAACAAACAACACTGACTAAAAAATATAGGCAGAAGACGTATAACAGTTTATATAATTGTTTATTGTTTAGTATTTTTTTTTTTTTTTTTGTTTCATCATCATCATCATGGTACAAATCAGGACAGACAAAATAAACATTCAAACATTTTCAACATTAGGCATAAATTAGGCAAATAATGCATGACATAGTTGGCAAAAACATAGGTAATATTTTTACCAGACAAAAAACCTTTTATTGGTAGTATTGTCTAGGTTGTATTTCATTTTACATATCAACAAAGTTAATTTTTTACAACAGCATGGCACAAATTGGATGTCAATGTAACATTTTGTATTTTTGTATTTTACAGCAATATCAAGCAATATCACAGACATTTAAATTTTATCACAGTCACAGTAAAGTGTAAGTCACCGGTCTGTGTTGTATGTACATAGTTTATAGGAAAGACAGGTGATATTTATGATACAGACAGAAAACAGAAATTAGATTGCCAGAGGAGAAGTTGAAACTGTATCATCGTGGACAAGTCGTTTTATATATAGATAGGACAAAGAGTATCGGTGTTGATTGTAGGTGTAGATGGAGGACTTGTGTACTCTAAACCCTACATTGGTACCTCCTTGTGGTTGTTGTACGTCAAGAACTTTCAAAAATGTGTCCCTATCTAAGGTGTTATGTTGTTTTGAAAGTCCTTTGGTGCTGGTTTTTGTGTGCTCACCGTAGCAATGATAGGTCTTACTACATAGGGCTATCATGCCATCCCCCTCATACTCTAATTTAAAAAGCCCCGGGGTTCTCTTCTCATAGAGTTTCCTAGCTCGACAGGCCTGACAGTCTAACGGCACGTTACCCTCGGTAGAAATAAAGGCAGACTTGTGAGCAGGACAGACTTCTGACGGGAACCACTTATCGTAAACAGCATAGAACTCGGGGCGAAGGTGGGGCCTTACAACGTCAGAGAGATTGTCACTACTAAGAGCTAAATACAAACTATCAGTGTCCATCTCACACAACTGAAAATCGGCCCTATCTACAAATTTATCTAAAAAGTCGTAATAAAACTCTAACATTCTCAGTTTGGCGTACTGATAAACGAAGAAACCTATTTGGAGTGGGAGGTCCCAGACTATATTCTTCTTCAATAGTTCTACCTCATAGATATCATCGGTCAGATGGGTCATCTGTTTGAAGAGGGGGTTGTTGACTTTTGTCGAGGTGCTATCCCCAAGACAATAGGATACGTCGGTATGCTTTGACTTGTTGGTCAAAGTCTTACCATACGCGGCGTTCCCCAACAACTTCATAGTCTCCCCAGTGAGCGCCTTGGACGGGTCACTGTCCCCCGCGCGTCGGGCCTCTGACACGGTATCCCCAAATTTCTGAAAGCAACTCACTGGGTGGTACTCGATGATTTGGTAGATTTTAGTCACCACTAATTTCTGTTCTAAATACCACTTTAACAAGGGAGTCGCTAACAAAATTTTGGTACCTATATAACTGCCTATCAAGGTCCTGCGCGGTGATGTCAATAATTTATGTTTAATGGTATAGTCCTTCATACAGTCACTAAGATCGTCCCTAGTCACTTCTATGTTTTTGAAGATGGGCGTCATTTCTTCAAATTTCGGTTTTAGGTCGTCAGGAACAGAAATGTCGCATTCTACTAGGCCAAAGAATGTATCCTTTCTGACTTTGTCGAGAATTGTCGCTTCTGTAATGGGATAGGCACCCCACTGGGGTTTAACGCGGGGGAACCGACCAGCCAGAAACGTTTTCACGGGTTCAGTCTTTTTAAGTTTCTGCCATTCACATTCCCACATTTCTACGACACTGACGCCTACCTCAGTCCTCAAATAGTGGGAAATCTCCCTGGTGTTTTCATACAACTCCACCAGGGGTTTCTGATTAACCGGGTTAATGGTTATACCCTGGTTCTTACAGCAGTTTTGATGGCCATGGAATAGACAACCGTGAAATTGGTAGGCGGTGCGAGTGGTTGGTGCCCACCCATCCACTCTAATGTGCCTGTCACCCAAACTCATCTCACGACCATTAAACTGTGTTTTGAGGGCTACGGCCGCTTCATGGGAGACCCAAGCCAACCATTCTCTATTCTGAGTGGTGTACCAGTTGTATTTTTCCACGCGGAAACCCGTCTCCGCTTTTCTGACAATAGGAATATCAGTCGGCATTTTCTGCATCAGGGCCCAAAGATACAGAGCATTGGCATCATAGCCTTTTACCGACTGGACTGGTTTTCCCCCTCTAACTCGGGTCTGGCCCTTCTCGTGCTTTCGGTGAAAAATAATACTGGGTCCCCCAACTATATTATCCCTAAGCGTCTGATGGAGTCCAGCTTCTTTTTCAGAACAGAGTGAAAAGGACACGTCGGCAGCTAGAGTTTGGAACAGATATCGGAGGGTAACGCCCGGCACAGAAATTGCGTTTTTGAACATATCTACACCTAAACTAGAATAAAAAGATACCTGTTTTTCTAAGGCGGCTATGAAAGGAACTACATCTTTATTATTATACCAGACAAGGAAATCTCTAAGAGTGTTCATGTTTTTATCGACCCAGACCTTTTGACAGAGAGAATAATCAGCCGCAGAAATGTTGCAATTTTTAAGAGAAGAAAAGAAAGCAGTGTGCGGTGGTAAAGTGGTTTCATCTAACTGACTAATATTGGTGATATACTCGTAACAGAAGAATCCTTTAGTTTCAGAAATATCAAAAGAAGACAAATATTTCGAGTACGAGAAGCCCGGGGCGAGGTAGTTGGAAATATCCAGGAACTTTAATTTGGGTGTGGAAATACACATAAAATTCTGGTTTCTTTTGACCATATAGTTTAAAGCATTCCGGTCCTGGGTAAGGAAGTATTTAACCAAGTATGGTTTGATCAAATTAATGTCATACTTTCCAGAGTTGAAACCCAAGACAGGGAGCTCTTTTAAATAGGCATCCAAGCGCTCACCCAGCTTGTCCTCTCCTAACACTGTTAATTCTTCAAACACTTTTTCAAATTTTTTCAGCAGAGTGCTGTAAGCTTTTTCCGCCAGTTCCTCTAAACGAGTCAGCATCCGATTGACTAAGTCCTGTGATTACCTGTTGTAACAAAACAAACAGGGGCTGTCATGTCGGGCACATTAGAGGCCACAGAGCAAGACAGCGGGATATGTTTCGCTAAAAAATTCGTGGCACTACCCCCAGCTGGAAGATTGCTATTATCAAAATAGCATTCAAAATCGAATGCTGCTCTGTAGGGATACACGTATTTCGTGTCGACAGCTATGCCGTGAGAGGCAATGGCTTCCCAGATTGTTTCAGGGGTGTTATAAACACCACCTTTGTAACTGTGTTTGGAATGACCTCCATTGCAGGTTTTCTCATGTCTGGTCATATTCCAAAATAAACCCCATAATTTGCCACATTTGGGACAAGCAAAAGTGTGTGCAGCTTTATTTAAATCCTTTATAAACATGAAGTGATCTTTATAAAACAAAAGGTGCAAAGTATCCTGATACGTTCCACTACCTCGGAGTTTGGGGGTAAGGGCCTCATTGTCAGTAAATTCATACACAGAAATACTAATTTTGAAAAAGGCTTCCAAAGCGGGAAGCTCTGCCAAAGTTATCCCGGGAAAATTGTCAGCTGACGTTAAACCCTGATGTGCAACCCATTGATTTAGGAGCTCCTTGGTGTTTTGCCTACAATCTCTAACACCCGCGCCTCGAAAAACAGCTAAACAACGAAAAAAAACACAAATTATCATTGTACGGTTTTAGGTTTGAATCTTGTTGTATTGTGTTGATGGCCTGGTTGTTGTTGATGTGTGGGGGAATGTCTCCTAAACTACAACCTATGGGAAATTCGGGGATGTAGGTAATGTAAAAAGATGTAGATGGAACGGCCTCGACGCAAAACTTGGTGGTGGGGCGTTTTAGTGTAATATAATCCATCAAGTTGGTTTCCGAAACGTAGGAAATGAAATCATCAAAGTCTTTTTTATTATTTATCAATTTAGCTATATCTAAAAGGGATGAATTGTTGTTGGACCCGTGAAAAAAGCGAAGCTCACCCGTTTCCATATTTTTTAAAACAAAATGGTGTGCAAGATTAATTTTGAACCGGGTCGCTATGTTGCTGAAAATGGGGGTCAATTTTGCGTTCCAGTCTACAGGGAAGGCAGAGGTGGGTCTGTGAAAAAAAGTGTGTGTGGACTGGCGAAGAAAATGCGTAGTGTGTGTTCGTATTGTCTTCCAGTTGTCGGTGTAAATTTTTTTAAAGTCAGCTGGCAACCGGTCTAAGGTTGCAAGTTCGTCTTCGTCAAGGTGTTGTGGAAATGTGTCATCAATGTGTTGTTGTGTGTCATTGTCTAATGTTTCAACTTCGTCAATAGGTTTGTCGTTTTGTTGTTGTTGTAATACAGCGTCAGCATCTAGCCATTGTTGTGAGTGATTGTCTAATGTTTCAAATTCGTCAATAGGTTCGTTGTTTCGTTGTTGCTGTAATGTATCATCAATGTGTTGTGGTAATGCTGAATCCGTGTGTTGTGGTAATACTTCGTCACCGTCAATCAGTTTTCGTAATGTTTCGTCTTCGTCTAGTATTTTCTGTAAGTCGGACTCTACATCGTCGTCAACCATTTGGTCAAATAGTGTCTCTAGGTCGTCTTGGTCTAATAAGTTGTTCATTGTGTCATAATCATTGTCGTCGTCCGTTATTTGTTGCAGTATACTCTCTAATTCAGTCTCGTCGATGGGTATACTATCGTCCAGTAGGGGTTGGTCTTGTGTCTCGGTTGTGTCTGTCTTCTGTCTTTTTGCTGTCGTTTCTTGGTCGTCTGTGGGTCTTTTTGATGGCTCAGTTGCCGGGCGCTTAAGTAAGTTTTCAGCATGCGCCTTTGCAACATGACGGTGCATATTATCAATTCGGGTGAATTGTTTGTTACAAAATGAACAAACATAACGCTCCATAGCATGAATATTTTTGACATGTCTTTTCAAATTGCGAACCTCAGTAAACACTTGCTCGCAAACCAAACAGGGGTATCTTTGAGGTGCGGCCATGATATATATATCTGAGGAATGTAAGAGAAAATAAAGAACGAATCAGAATAACGTTAAGCAAAAATATACACAAAACGACAAAATATGAAAATTTTAGTACCTTTTTCACAATGTAGAACAAAAACTGTGTCCCGGTCAGAAAAGAAGCAGGCCAAGTTTCAACAAGAACAAACTGTTATTTGGGTTGTTTTTCAAAAGCGTCAAACCAAGTTTTACCAATGACCAAAGTTATTTTGGTTGTTTGGACAGTGCAACGACAACTGTTTCTTGATTATGCGGAGTAGTGAAAGGCGATGCGGGTTTTTATTTAGGGACGTGGCGGGTTGTGGACATACACCTCGCCTGATGGCTAGAACCAATAAGATTGACGCGCAGTGGCGAAGCGGGGGACGTGGCGGGTTGTGGCCATACACCGGGAGAACCAATGAATTCAAGGCGCAGTGGCAAAGTCTGGGACGTGGCGGGGTGTGGGTGTGGCTTACACCAGAACCAATGAGATTGCAGTTCGCTGTTGCGTAGTGGAGGCCTAGTTAGTCTTAGTGGTTGTTGTTGTCAACACATTAACCAACATGGACCCTAGATGGAAGCATCCCTTTACGGCTTTAATAGCTGGGCCTACAGGTAGTGGGAAGACAGTATTTGTCCACCGCTTTTTAGAAAACTTGCAATACATGGTCGACCCCATACCAGAAGAAATTATCTGGTGTTACGGTGAATGGCAAACCACGTATGACAATATGAAAGGGATCCAGTTTAATGAAGGACTACCCGACCTGGAACAATGGCAGGGTGACAGACGTCGTTTAGTGGTTATAGACGATTTGATGTCCGAGACGGATGATAGAGTCA